TTTTTTTTTTGTTGTTGTTGTTTTGTTTTGTTTTTTGTTTGGTTTTTTGGGTTTTTTTTGTTTAGAAAATGATATTTTTGCAGGCTTGTACCTGATGGCCATAAATGTAAATATGGAATAAAACTCAGGGTGCTTTTGTGGGATTGCAGCTTGGACACCTCCCCATCCACCCCAGTGGGAAGAGAAGGGACATGAGGAGGGGAAACAGCCTCAAGCTGTGCCAGGGGAGGTTCAGATTGGAAATAAGGGAAAATTTCTTTGTGGAAAGGTTTGTCCAGCCCTGGCACAGCTGCCCAGGGCAGTTTGGAGCCTCCATCCCTGGAGGGATTTAAAATCCATGTGGATGTGGCACTTGGGGACATGGTGGCCTTGGCAGTGTTGGGAATGGTTGGATTTGATGATCTTAAAGGTCTTTTCCAACCTTAATTCCAAGATTTTCTGCTTGGTCCTGCTGAGCCCAGTCCTTTGCATCCAGCTCAGTTTTCTCAGGGAAACTCCTGAGAAGAAAATCTTCAGGAGCTGGAAATGCAAAGGGCTTTGGCCAACACCAAAATCTCAGGATTTGCATAATCTTCGTGGCTGTGTTTATTTCTGATAAATTGAGGGACACCACAGCGTGTTCCAGCCACACTTTGTCACATCCCAGAGAATATTTTTTTTTTTTTTTAATCACATCCCAGAGAACAGATTCCAGGGGTCTGGCAGGGAAGTGGCATCTGGAAAACCCTCCTGACAGGGATTTGGAGAGAAGCACTGATGCTCCTTTCGCTTTCTGCTCTCCTGGAAACTTTCCAGCAATTTCAATTATTCTGTGTTTGTTTTGGGGTATTTTTTTTGTTTTGTTTTTTTGGTTTTCTTTTTTTTTTTAAGAACTGGATGTATTTTAAGGATAAAAGAGTGAACTCAGCACTGCCTTGGAAAATCAGCCCCTGCCAGGATTGATTACCCAAAATTCCAATGGATTTCAGCAGCCTTTGCTGAGGGTGGGAAGCATCCCAGCATTCAGCACCTCTCCCCTGTTAATTCCACTTTTATCCTGGCTTTATTCCACATTCCCAAATCTTTCCCTTCCCTTCAGTTCCATTAAGTGCTGCCGTGTGTCCCAAGTTTCTAATTATAAATATAATTATAAATTGTTAATTTGGGACATTTATATAACATTCAGAATGATGCAGGCACAGTTTGCAGTGAGGTGTTAAATTAACTGATTAGACAATTAACTGTCTAATCCCAAGAATGGGGTTGAGAAAGAATGGGATTGTAAAACCCCAAGAATGGGATTAGACTGTAAGACATTTAGGCTACTTAAATTAGAAATAGTAGTAGAAGGAATTGAGGGAGTAAATCAGTAGGAAGCTGGACTGGGAAAAAAAAAAAAAAGAAAATAAAGTTTGATGCTAATAATATTTTTTATTATTCTTTTTACACTCTTTGTATTAGAGAAAAAAAAACACTGAGCTTTGCAGTTGTGTATCCAAGGAATAGCAGCTCTGTGCTGAGTGTGAATTTACTCCTGGGTGTAGAACCTGGGAAGGACTGGGAATATTTCACTGCTGAGTAACAGCTGTGAAAGTGGTGCAAAGGTGGTGTGAAAGTTGTTGTCACGGGAGATTTTTCTATATTTGAGTTTATGCAGTGATTATTTCTGGTGGATTATCCCACTTTACATGGAAAGGCAGGATTTTCTAATGGTTTTTCTAATGACTGCCAAATTCCTGGGTTTTTTTAGTGTGTTGTTAGGCAGGACTGTGTAATACACTGTGGAAATTGTACTATAAAATTCAGTGTATTGCCCTGAACTGGGAGCTCTGGTGAGCAGGGATAGAATTTTAGCAGTGGCTGCAGAGCCACCATCTGGATAAATCCTGCCACAAAGCAAAGGTTGTGTGAAATCGTTTCTAAATCAAGCAGGACTGGCTAATGGCTGAGATGGGAGCCTCTCCTAATTAATCTGTTCATTAGTGATTGGATAAATCACAACAAATTAATAACAACATTCATTTTCCACCTCTATTTAGAGGGACTGGAGTATTTCTGGACCTGTTTATTTGTCTACATCTGTGAGTTTCCCTGAATTAAGGAACAAATGGTCTCATCACACTTTTCCTCCAATTTTCTTCGCACTGGAAATTATTTTCTGGTCTCACCAACGCTGAAATTCTGTGTTTAGAAAGCAGAAAATCAGCTGTGGCAAACATTTCCCCATGGAATTCATCCATGGAGCCCCTCACTGTGGCTGAGGGAGTTGAGTGGGATAAGGAAACTCTGGAAGTGTGTGTTAAAGGGACTCAAATTTCTGCTCTTACTGGGCTGCTTGGTGGTAAAATCTTCTCCTCTGTGTTATGAATTTTGCTCTTATCTCTGGGAATGACTCCCAGGATTGTTTCCTCAGTGCCTCAGATGACTTTTTTTTATGGAGATAGCATTCTTGCCCTGATTTCTGGTGTTGTCTGTGAACTGTGGCTGAGTGTTGCCATTCTGCTGCTGGATTTAAAATCTCCTTAATGAATTTTTGGTGCGCACAAGTTGTATTTTCTTCTTCCTTTTGCATCAAAACTGAACATCCAGTGCTGAGGTGATGGGAGAGTATAAAACAGGGTTTAAATAAATTTAAATTTCAAGCAAACATCGCTTTTACTTTTAGCTTCCTTCCACGAGGTGAAAAAAAAAAAAACACCATGCTATCAGTTTGACCTGAAAACTTATCTTCTGCTTTGCTTCCTTCCAGGTCCAGGATGGAACATTCCTGCTCGCTCCTGCTGCTCTGTATTAGTTTCATTTTTGCACGAGCTCTGCCTCCCAATGGAACGGAGCTGCCCAAAACAACCACAACAACCAGTAAGGAGTGATCTCTGGGCTGGGGTGGGCATGGACCTCTGGGGGTTCCCTGCTGGCACAGTCCAGGAGGTTTTGGCAGGACTTTGAGCCCACTGGCACAGATCTGGTGGTGCCAGGTGCCCTCTGGGTTTGTTCTGCACGTGGGTGGTGCTGGGGTTTCGCTTTCCCTTTGCCGTGGAAGGGAAGAACACGGCAGAGGTGGAGGAGCTGCAGGGCCCAGGAGCTGCCACGGGGATGTGGGCACGGATAACAGGAGATAATTTTCAGTAGACAACAGGATGAATAGGTTGGAACACTGTGAGAAGCCTTGAAACGAGTTCTGTGTTTTCATGCAAAGACTGGAGGAGGGTGTGAGGTGTCCCGTGGAAGGTCCTGGCAGGTGAGAATCAGGAGAGTTGTTCCAGGGGCTGAGAGTGATCTCCTCTTCTCCTGATGCCTTGTGAGGCTGCCCTGGAGCAGAGGCTGGGCAGAGTCACAGAATAAAGCAGGGATTTATTCCAGGATCTCCTCATGGATCCACCTTGGGCAGCACCAGAGCCCAGCCAGGGCTGCACCCAAATGACCCAAAATGGTCCCAAAATGCACGAGCGCTCCCGGGGCTCTCCCTGGGATCAGTTCTGCTCCATTGGCACCTTGGAGTTCATTGTCCCATTCCAGCTCCAGCCCATCAGTCCCACCCTGCTTGTTTTTCTCTCTCCAGCCCACGGTGTTTGTGCTCCTGGGCTGAGGTTTGGATCATTTGTCCTTGGTGCCCAGCTGGAGCAGGAATTGTTTTGTCTCCCTGCTCTGTGCAGAGCTCAGCATCCCCTGATATAAATCCCAGACCCACACACTAAAGCAGCACAGAGTCTGAGAAATATAAAAGCTGAACCTGAAGCATCACTCTGGGCCACCACAGCACCTCATGTTCATCCTCATTTCTGTTTGCAGAATTTCTTCCTCCTCAAACCCTCCCACAGCCACCTCCTGACATGTGGCAGTCCTGGGGAGAGGCTCCTTCAAGGGAATCTGGGGGGTTTGAGGAAGTGCCCAAGGCCAGGTTGGACAGGGCTTGGAGCAGCCTGGGAGGGTTCGAGGTGTCCCTGCCCATGGCAGGGGTGGGATGGGATCATCTTTGAGGCCCTTCCAGCCCACACCAGGGAGATGGAGCTGCTGGTGTCCCATAGGAGCAATGTGACCACGTTTTGATGGCTGCTCGGGTCGCTGTTGTTGACACCCAGCGTTGCACAGGAGGCTGATTTGTTGCTTTATTTGCTTTTAATCTCTCTGTGAACTTTACACCCCTGGGGAAGGAGAGGAATCGAGTGCCAGGCTTGGCTCGTGGCCCCTTGGATTGTTTTGGTTCATGGTTGTAGTAATTTAAATGGAAATAAGGGAGATTTAGATGGGATACTGGGAAGAAAATGAAGGTGTCAGACCCTGGCACAGGTGCCCAGAGCAGCTGTGGCTGCCCCTGGATCCCTGGCAGTGCCCAAGGCCAGGCTGGACAGGACAGTGGAAGGTGTCCCTGCCATGGCAGGGGTGGAACAGGATAATTTGGAGGTTCTTTCCATCCCAAGCCTGTCTGGGATTTGCTGCTAATTCAGGTGTGAGCATTTGCCTTTTGCAGAATCTAGCTGCAGGGTGGGTGCAGCCCTTGCTGGGCAGGGGAAGTGGAATTTGGGGAAAAACAAGGGGCTCCACCATCAGCAGTGACAACCTGAGCGTGGCTGTGCTTAATGCTTCCAAAAACCCCAAATTATTCACAGAAATGAAGCTTTAGCTGACTGTGAATTTGCTAATGAATCAGTTTGAAGTATTGTCAAGTAGTTTTTGGTCCCTGCTTCTTGTCTGGCACCTGCAGCTGTAGAAAAACAAGTTACTAATATTGGGCTGAATATGTCAGAATATGGGAATTGAGAAGGGGAAGTCACTTGCTGTTTTTAGCACTTCCCAGAATTTTAATAACATGAGCACAAAGGGCGTTTTGCCATCACTGTTGTTCATCTTCAGAGCTTAATTCCAAATTGTGCTGAATTGAAGTCTGATAATATGGATAAGAGTAATCTGATCATCCCTATTTTAATTAAATCTTAATTTCAGTGATATGGTTCAGAAATTAGTGGTGTGACTAAACTGTTTTTCCTAAATATCAAAGCCTTTGCAGTGAGGAAGAGTTTTGTCTGACAGACAAGTTAGGTGCACCCTGAAAATTACATTGCTGCAGAAAGAGGACCAAGATAATTGGATGATCTAATAAATTTGATAGCCATTGAATAATACAGCGTTTTAAAATACAAAAATAAAGATTTTGATTGAAGCATAAAGAAAACTCCATTTAACAGACTGTGGAAAGAACTGGAAGAGCCTAAAAAATTCAGCTTTCCTTTTGCATGCTAATTTGATGAGTGATCCCAAAAGATACTTTTGATTCTGAAAGGAATAGGTATAAATGATTTCATGTCATTAATTCAGCTGCCTTGATTTTTTCCAAAGATTTGCTGGATTACAATGTCAGCTTTATTCTTATTTAAAACATAGTTACCTTGTCTGGATGGGTTGATTTTTAGCACTGCTGCTGCCATTTTACCTCCTACGAGAACACCCTGAAATTGCAGCCATGAAATTGCTACCTTGAAATTTCCCTTTCAGAAAATGAGAATATTCTGGTCTTTCTTGCTCTGCCATTTACTGCAAATTTGCCCTGATATTTTCTCCAGGTATTCAACTGCATGAAATAAATATAAACCATCAAACCACAGAATGGTTTGGCTTGGAAGGGAGCATCTGGTTCTGACTTCCAAGCTAATATTTATTAGGATTTGCATAAATAAATGTATATTTCCAGTAGAGATAACTTAATGCTCCCAGATCCTTGTTACAGACTGTTTATTCATGATATTGGCCGTGACCGTCCCGTTACTCCTGGTAATTCAAATATTTGTAAGTTCCCCAGGATTAATCATGGTCTGGATTGTTTTACTTCCTCTTGTATTTTTACTTGTGGAGTTGTTGAAATGTGCAAGCAGCCTGGGAGCTGCAGTTGTAAACCTTTAAATACCTTTCCAAATGTTGACATTCCACTGGTATTTACTCCAGGAGGGTTCTCGGTGCCTTTGAATCCTCACAATTCCTTTCCATCACTCTGAACCTTCAGAGGGAATGAATTCATCAGAGGAGCTGCAGGTCGAAAGGCAGGAAAATGGGGCAGCTTTGGGGCTCCTGTTTAGTGGTGGTTTCAACTTCCAACAAGTCAGTGGGAATGTGAAAATAAGATTTTGTGTCTCTCTGCTCTGGGGGGACCCCACCCAGTACACCGTGTCCCCCCCTGGGGTCCCCAGCATGGGGAGGACCTGGAGCTGTGGGAATTAATCCAGAGGAGGCACCAAAATTTGCAGTGGGGTGGAGGAAGGGCTGGGAGAGCTGGGATTGTTCACCTGGAGAGGAGGAGGAGGTTTGGGGAGAGCTCAGGGTGGCCTTGCAGGGCCTGGAGGGGCTCCAGGAGAGCTGGAGAGGGATGGGGACAAGGGATGGAGGGACAGCACACAGGGAATGGCTCCCACTGCCAGAGGGCAGGGATGGATGGGACATTGGGTACTGGGAATTGTTCCCTGGCAGGGTGGGCAGGGGCTGGGATGGAATTCCCAGAGCAGCTGTGGCTGCCCCTGGATCCCTGGCAGTGCCCAAGGCCAGGCTGGACACTGGGGCTGGAGCACCTGGGACAGTGGGAGGGGTCCCTGCCCTGGCACAGGTGGCACTGGATGATTTTTAAGGTCCCTTCCAGCCCAAACCATTCTGTGGCTCTGTAATACCCAGGAGGACCCAGAGCTGGGACTTCCCTGTGAAACTCGTGGTGGTTTCATGGAGAAAATGAGGCAGCATCAGAAAACTGAGTTATGCAGAAGGAAACTGGCTCGTTTTATTTGGTATTTAAATGCCAAAGGGATTCTCTGCAGACACTGAATTCCAAGAATTAGTTTGGAAAGCAGAACTTCAGAAATAGCTTGTTTCAGGTTGGGGGTTGCACTGGGTGACATTTAAAGGTCCCTCCAGCCAGGCTCAGGTCGTGTGGCTGCAGTGCCAGGTGGGCTGTGCTGGCTTTGCCCAGTGGGATTCAGCTCTGAGATGGTGAATTCACAATTCCTGTGCTTGCCTCCTCTCCTGATGCCTTGTGAG